ATCCAATGCTTCACTGAAAGTTATTTCCACACCTGAGTTAACGTTTTAGCTAGAGTTAAATACAGTCTGCAGGGCTGTGAAATACAACCTACATTACCAGAAGCAGCTATCAGCAGATCTGCAGAAGAACAGATAGCTTGATTAGTGGAACAGCAAGACCATTAACAAGGAGAGAAAATTATTAACACCTGTGGAATGAAGAGTTTAGAAGGAACCAGGTAGATTATAATGATCCATGAAGTCATTTCATTCTCTTACTGCTGCCTGAATAGAAATGCTGCTGCCACTGCCAGGCTCTCAACTTTGGGTGGACCAAGAACCAAAGGGGGATATCACTGCATTAGTGTACGTCCTACATGTGTGCAATCCCACTCCCACTGTAAGTCAGCAGAGAATTCTGATCCAGTAGTATTTCATGCTTACAGCCTACAGGTGTAACTAACTAAAAAAGGCATAAGAATAACAAAGAATCAAGCCTTGCTGCTTTCACAACACAGCTGAAAACATAATCTGGTCCTTCTATTGCTGTCACTTAGAGCTGACACCTTTCTGATGGACTTAGAATATTCTTACCCACACCATTTCTCAAGGGACACAGCAGTTCAAAAGGGCATTAGAAAACCCTGTATTCTTTTAAGACAATACACATGGTGCTATTCTAGCATAAATGCAATGGCAGGAGTTACTTTTCCCCACCACTGTAACTTTCCTTCATAGACTTTTGAGTTTTTCTACAATTTATTGATTGCAAAAAATCTCCAGGATCTATACATGTTCTTCAACTAAAATTGAATCCCTGGCTGGTCATCATTTTTTTCTAAGAACTTCAGTAACAAAACCAAAAACCCAGAGAAAAGCAAATCTCATCAGGAATGAATTGCCCAGGCCTCCTTCACAACTACACAGTTGCTATGCTGCTGAAATCAGTATACATACATACTAATTTGGTCCTCAAGATCATAGCAATCAACTCATACTTCTCCCACATGGCAGCATACACAATTAGATGCAGTAAGAGATATTAAAGAGATTTTGAGAAAGAAATGTATCAGCGAAGAATCAAACAGGTGTGGTCCCTCTGGAAATACAAATTGGACAAAGTGCTCTACTCCCCTGTTTAGCCATACCACAGTAACTACATTACATTTTCTTTAAATCTGTGCTCTCTCCCTCCCAGAAAAGTGGCTGAAAGCATAGCACAGCCACTGGGCGACTTCCTTGCTTCTACTGTTAGGCCAGGAGGATAGTATGTGAAAGTTAAAGCATTCAGAAAAGAACCCCAAGCAGTCAAAAGGTTCAGGGAGAGGAAAAACTGTTGGACAGACAGTTGGCTGACATAGTTTAGTTAGGGATATTCTGGTCGTATTTCAAATTAAAGAATAGGCCTCAAGTAGGGGGCTGAATTAGATGGCCTTGTAAATGGAGTAATTTACTAGTTCAGCACAGAACTAGACTAGCTGACTTGAAACCATCTTTTCCATCTCCATACAGCAAATCCAAACCATGAAGGTGCCAAGCACCCTGACCTTCCATTATGGATAGATGAATGTGCTGAGCCCCTTTCAGAATTAAATCCAACTTATAATGTTAATGTCCCGTTTCCTCTACATCTTGGTGATGATTGAGCATCATAGTTTTGGGAGTCCTGCATTTTTCAGACATGTTGATCGAGACAAGGAGTGGGAAGGGGCAGCTGCTCTCAACACTAAGCTCCCTTCCAAAAGCAGGACATATTTGCATATAGATAAACACTGTTGTTCTCAGCATTGTCTCATGTTTTGCACTTGCACAACTATTGAAGTGGGGAGTTCTAAGGAGCGTGAAGGAAGCCACTGGTAGAACAGCTTGTGATAGGCCTGTGCTACCAAAGCATGAGGGGCAAGACAGCAAGCCTAGTCCTATGTGCAGACATTTCAGGTCTGTACAGCTGTATCCCTGTGCACGTACCCCAGGACCCATGGTATTTTTGATATCCATCCTTTGTCACCTAGTAGCTCTCTCCCCTCAGGAGGCAATCAGAAGTCAAGAAATCCATTAAATCCTGGTGGAATGGCAGAGTAAGTCCAGCCAGGAACAATGACACTTGCTAGTGCATTACAGAAGGGTACGTCTACATAGCAAAATGGAAGTTTGATTGCAGCATGTGCTAGCAAGGCTCAGCTAGCTAGTGAAAAGGTTGTAGCATGGGCTTTAGGATATGCCGGCAATAGAGTACATGCACAGAGTCAGCAGGTGATTTGCATGCCTCACTGCTGTTGCTAAGTTCTCGTTCTGCTGTACAGACAAAACTAGAGATGCAATAACTTGTTCTCCTCTTATTCAAGAGCTTTGATTGCAGTTTTCATTTTAAATAAATCACACACCTCCCAAGTCATTTTTCCTAACACTGCTGGAAGTTGAGATTTTAATTCACCTCAGCCTGGAATTTGACCTATGGGTTCTCAGCCCAGAGTCAAAAAGGTTTTTAAATGCAAAACTTTAGCTGTCAATTTAATTGGTTGTATTAAAAATTCAAGAATGGGCAAAAAAAAGTATTTTTCAAACATCGGACATTTTTTACCCAAGCTAATGGCCACGGTGTGAAGTAGGCAGTTTTGCGTACTTGTGTTAAAGCAGCCAAGGCCTTAGAGTTTGAGAAAATGTTGTGCAGTAGATCATGATTTCAGTGGAAATGTTGTCTTAAAGGTTGAAATTCACCTTTTCCCTCCGTGAACCCACCCACTTCAACCACAGACTGGATAAGAGACTGCAGCTAAACCTTTCCACAGCCAGAGGTAATAGTGACTACATCATCTCTCCTCTGCCTATGCAGAAGTTGATGGCTTGTAAGTTCTGTCATAGCCCATTCCCTAAGGCCATTCCCTGAAGCCTACTCCCATTGCAGATGGGAATCCTCCAGAGACCCTCCTGCCAC